TCAGTAACAAATTTAGATACTGAAAATAACATCAGTGGCTACACACAAGAGAGATGTAGACCTGTATTCTGTGACAAATTCAGTGCAATTGAAAAAAAATAGTGCACAGGACATACATTTAAAACCTTTTCAATTAATTTGCACCAGAATGTTTTAAAGGTCAGATTACAATACCAGCTTGCAATTTCAGTAATTGAACAATTTCAGAGCTCATGATTGAAATTCAGTCGCTGGCCACAACAAGCCCCACAGTCTGTCCTGTAAATGGGGTTAGTTGAACTTACTGGAAAAGACAAAAAGGAAAAAGGCTCTGTGTTAGGCCTCAGTGTGGACAGCCTGAGGGCAGAAACAGAGGACAGCATGATGCTGATACTGAACTCTGTGTGAACTCCTCCTCGGACTACACTTTCATCTCCTCTGTAGAAAGCTGCAGAGCATCTTCAGCCTCTTTTTCATCCCCCACCCCCGAAGGTGTACAGAGTGCTCTTTATGTGTCAACACACATCAGACTTTACAATGCTGTTTGTCCCAGTAGACCCAACAAGTAAGAGCGACCTCAGGTGGAGTGTCTTTGAGATTTGCTCTCTGGTCTAACTCTGGACTACAGCTTTTTGTCATTCAAGTCAGTTGAATGATAATTCTGCATGTAGAAGCACACATATGCGCAAAATGGCACATACAAGTATGACACTTCTTGCTCCATGTCCTGATAATATGTGAACAGATTAATAATGCAGGTGTATTTGGCACATCATCTTTTTGTACATTTATGCTATAGAATGTATAAAAATAATCAACATAGCCACCATGATGTCACCCACTGGTTAAAAACTCCCATTTTAAAGCCTTGGGTTTGACATCTTGGCCATTGCCATCTTTGATTTTTGAAGTCAAAAGTTTCCGTATTTTGACGAGAGGATGGAGATGTAGAGGTACGAGGGGTGGATCTGACCCAGAGGCTGAGGCCTCTCAGACAGCCTGTCACTTAAAGCTGCCACATTTTTAAATGTGTGTAACTTTAAGCCTTTCTAACATTTAAATGGGTGAGTTATATAAAAAATCACCCCCCATACAGTTGTCATGAATGGAGATATTATCTTTTGTACCAGGCTTTAAACATGTTTATATCTGCTGTAAAGTTGGGCATTTTAAAGGGATAGTGCACCCAAACATGAAAATTCACCCATTATCTACTCACCCATATGCCGATGGAGGCTCAGGTGAAGTTTTAGAGTCCTCACATCACTTGCGGAGATCCAAGGGGAGAGGGGGTAGCAACATAAGTCCACCCAATGGAGGCTGACGGCGCCCCAGATTCAAACATCCAAAAACACATAATTGAAACCACAAAATATCTCCATACTGCTCGCTTGCGTGCGAGACCGTGAGACATGGGCACCGCGTTCATGTGTGTTCACATGCTTTCGCTGGTCTTGTGCACATGTGAGCGCGGTGCACACAGAGGCAGTTAGAGCTGCAGGCTACAATGAGGCTAAAAACAGAGTTCAAATGACGTTTTTCCAAACAACTTTTTATGTCGGGGCTTCAGGACACTTAGATCACTACGGACGAGCAGTATGGAGATATTTAGTGGTTTCAATTATGTGTTTTTGGACGTTTGAATCTGGGGCACCGTCAGCCTTCATTAGGTGGAGTTGTGTTGCTACCCCCTTTGCCCTTGGATCTCTGCAAGTGATGTGAGGACTCTAAAACTTCACCTGAGCCTCCCTTGCCATATGGGTGAGTAAATAATGGGAGAATTTTCATTTTTGGGTGCACTATCCCTTTAACATGGGGGTCTCTGTGGATTGTCCCACTATTGGAGCCAGCCTCAAGTGGCCATTTGAGGAACTGCAATTATTGCACACTTGTGCTGACTTCATTTTTCAGCCCAAGAGGCCGGCGCTTGGGTTACACTTTACTGAGGGGAAAAGTTACTCTGCGTACACAGAAGTCACCGCTGGAGGATCCACCATGAGCATTTTAGCCAGACCCAGCTTGCACAAGTTGGTGAGGCAACATTGTGGCCACGTTTGATTTGAGTCACTTACTGTGCTCTTTAAAATGACCTTTTTAATGTGACTTTTATATATTGAGTATTTAAATGCTAAATAGGGCGGTCTGTAGTCTGTACACATCCCCACAGAGCTGTCTAATTTACCATCGGTGTACTACGGGAGTGAAGGCCCTTTAAGATCACTCCACAGGTCATAGAACAGGTTAAAATAGCAGAAGGCACAGCAACCGTTGCTAGGCATTTAGTGAGCATTCATTCAACTCACCCATTAATTTTTGTAATTAAGCTATTTCATTTCATAAAAAGTATAAAGAATTGCTCAGTTTGACACAAACATTTTTCTTCTTCTGAGAAACAAAGACCTTATTGTCACCAAAAAGCCAGTGTTGGTATTTTGTCATCAGAAATACACTGCAATAATTTTCACAGCAGCTCTGTCAAGCTAGAGGCTGCATTGAAACTTCTCTCTCTTTATTGATTTCCTGTCCCTTTCACATTAATGTGTTGAAGATACAAGCTTCTGAAAGCATGAAGCAAAACAGTTTTTAGGGTTTTTCAGGGATGTATCGTTGAGAGCAATGGTCTATTTTTCAGTGCAGCTCTGTTCACACTCATTCCGCTATACACATTCACACCTGGAAGCTACCCAGTACAACCACAATTTGATCTGCCAGACAAAGAGCAGCTCTCCCAACCCAGATTTATCTGGCCAGTCCAAACTGGCACACTTTGGGTCACAAGCGCACTTCACAGATTCCCTACAGGGAATCATTTGAATGTGATTTAATCTTGAAAAGAAGGATCTAGGTCACGATTATTTTAAGAAATTCTATGTGGGCATTGGACACAAGCTTCATTGTATTTGACAGTGAAAGTGACTGAAGTGGCTGTAACTTGTTATTGCAATTCAACAGTTGCAGGGTTAGTTCATAGGCATCATATTAGTTTCCAATTCATAGACCAATAATTACAACCCCAGTAAAGCTTTTTGTTTATAATACAGTTATCTGAAATTCAAAATGTTATAGCATCTAGTTCTCTACAAATTATTAGTTAATCTTTCATCAAAGCATGTGACAAATAAGACAAATCAGCAAAATGAAAATTGAATTTAAATGATTTGAATTTTCAGTGTCTCTATTAAATTAAGCAAAAATTCTAAAGAGGTATGACAACAGCCCACATCGCCAGAAGAAAATGTCAGCATTGTATGTTTCTACAAACCACAGATGTGTTGCACTTGTCTGTTTCATTTGTATCATATCAACATTTCTAAAGTGACGTAGTATATGAGCTGACTTGGTTAACAGGAGGTGGAGGGGATGGTGGATGGAATGACACCTAGGCAACACGCCTGCAAGATGCATAATACTGCTCAAGACCAACCAACACCAAAACCAGTTGGGATTTTTTTAGCAAGTCATTGCTTTTTAGGCACCAAATGTGGGTGTTTTGTTGGGACCAGCCTAGAGAGTGGCATAAAGGGTGTTTCCTATTGGAACAGAGTCAGCAAAAGCAGTTGTTTTTGACCGAGAAATCACTGCTTTTCCAGCAGGCACTGTGCCCCCAAAAACCAGGTATTTTAAGCCTAAACATTATCATTTCCTAACCATAAGAGACTGAGCACCAAATTCTGGGCCCTATGCGTAAGCAGTCTCTGTGGGGCCTCCGCCCATCCTCTTTTGATCCAAGTCTCTCTCAAGCAGCTTTTTTCTTTCTTTTTTTTCAATTAAACAAATAGAATTGAGCCAGAATCTGCTTTTTGGAGAGCCTCCCTGTGGATATCCTTGATTTCAACCTCTGAATGTTTAATGAAACACTTAAAAATGTTTTGGTTTAAAAAAAAAATAAAAAAAAGGATGATTCTAAATTTATCAGAATATTAAATTGCACAGAGTCGGATTGCTTTGAGGCCATAAAAAGGCCAGCCAGCAGCATTAGTAACTATATTAGCATTGATTTTCCAAGTTTAAAGGAGCTTTGTTTGAGCCACAGACATGAAAACTATTTTATGGTTTGGTGCTTCAAAAAATTGGTTCTCCAAAATTCAAAACCTGATACCATGCTACCAACACACAATATCAGGCAGTCTATCACTCAGTAGACAGCTCACACAACCCCTCAGGCAAATATGGTGATAAAAGCCCTTCAAGGACGGACTGCTGCATTTTGACCACATGTATGAAAGAAAACTGAATGTAATGGGTATGACTTAAGAGTTACTTCAGATTTTTTAGCCATGACAATAAAGCCTTTTAGTAATTCCTTTTGAGTGGGAGATTTTTATATCAATGCTCTTTACAAAACAGAAGATAGTTTACAGGAACTTGCATCATTACATGACATATCTTACAATCAACTTATAGAAAAATCTAACGATGATAACAAGTGTCGTTTTTAAAATTACATCATACTCTATGATACATGAGCAAATCCTGCTCTGCCTGTGCTGAGGCAAGAAGGGAGATCATGATTGTGTTATCTACCACCACTTGAGTTATAACAGCGAGCAATGGAAGAGGTAAATTGTGAAATATAGAACACTACAGCCCTTTATTCTCTATAGCCGCAGAAACAAAAGTATGGTACAGTAGACTCACAGTTCAGTGCTTATAGTTCCCTTTTCATAATCATTTGCTGATGCTAAGTTCTGCTGAGGTGTTATGGTGTAGGTTTAGCTTAACTGACTAAAGAGCGGCCTGTACTGAGCAGCTTGAGTTCCTTATTAACACTGCATTGATACAAGGAACTAGAAAGATCAAAACCAGCATGTCATTCATTTGAAACTGTAACTTTCACAGTTTGTTGTTTCTGCAAACAACTCTAAGATAAGAGCACTGACAGTATTTTGTAATTTTGAAGAGATCACAAGAGAGCAGGAAGCAGTGTTTGTTGTTGCATTGTTTGGGGCAGTCCCCGAGCCACAGTCCCAGAGCCAAGTTCAGTTCCTGATTGGGTAAGTAAATTAGAGGCCATGTGCCTCCCTTCCTCTTTCACTCTGCCTTTTTGAAAGCCGCACTGACACATCAGGAGAAACCTGACAAACTGCTGCTTAAGGTAAGAGTGGGTGTATATTCACTGTATTATATCCTGGATAGTTTCTTACATTGGCTCTTAGAGCTTATTATTTCTAATGACTATTTATCACACTAACCTTGATGTGAAAAGGAACTTTGAATGGTACAGTAGTATCTGGAAATGTTTTTTGCAAAGATAGATTCCAGTGAGGATAAACTACCCTGAAGTGTGCAATTGATTATGATTTGTTTGGTGTGAAGGATGTGCTTTTCGACCTCTGCCTCAATTACAGTGTTATTTGTTGAAGAATACATTGATGTACCTAATGTTTTTTGCAGTGTTTTTTCTCTTTGAAAATTCACTGTTTGTATCAGGTTTGACACATAGTAATTTTTGTTGGGAGCAAACCTTCCCCCCTGTACTGCAGTTTTGACCCACATAGAATCTTCCTTAAGAGAGCTCTCCACTTATAGTGACACGTCTTTTGTCAGTTCAGTCAGTCTATACTATTCAGCCTGTTCACAAACATGTTCAGAGCCTAAATCTGTCAACTGGAACATGCTACATTTTGTGGTTCAAGCAACATCACCAGAAAACAAAGTACAAGATCGAATCAGTTCGATTTTTTTCATTCTTAGACAGCTGATGGAGCCCTTGATTGTACGCCGTGACAGTTACGGTGTTTGCCGACACTGAAATATTGCAAATGTGTTTAGAAATGCAATGATTCAAAAAAGTGCTTTTTTTCATCTGTAAAATCTTTCTACAGTGATTGAGATCATATTCAAAATGGACAAACATGGTGGACTAGGCCTTTAATCTCAGCCTTATTTAATAAAAGTCATGCTTGCCTGCTGACTTCTCAGGGGTCATGTGATTCTCCTGCAGCACTGACAGTCAGCTCTTTCACAGGCCTCCACTGAGGCACGACTCCCCAACCCAAGGCTGCAGTGGAAAGCACATTTACTCAATTAATGTCTGTCAGTTTTGTTTGTGCTTTACTTCTACTCCACTACATTTCAGAGGGAAATACTGTACTTTTGACTCCATGAAATTTGTCTGTAGTGGTCATCATTTTCAGATTAAAATTTAATATTTAAAAACACATAAATATCTTACAAAATACAATATATTGTTAAAGTTAAACCCCTGGTTTCCAAACTCTATGGCCTGTGAATTCTTGTCACATTCCAGATGTTATTGAGATAGTCATATATGAGTCATATGAGTCACACACAAGACCAGTACTTTTACTTTCGATACTTTACAGGAACAGGTCACCCCAAAAGCAAAGTTACACATTTTCCTCTTACCTGTAGTGTGATTCATCAGTCTAGATTGTTTAGGGGGGAGTTGCAGAGTGTTGGAGATATCGGCCACAAAGATGTCTGCCTTCTCTTGAATATAATAGAAGTAGATGGCACTCAGCTTGTGGTGCTTTAGGTGCAAAAGATACAATTGAGGAACTCAAAAGCAATGTCTCTTTACAGTAATCATGACCTGGTAACTCAAAGTAATCCACAAACCTTGTTGGCAGTAGTTGCATGTAGGAACAATTTTTTTTTTCTACCAGGGCTTGGTGCTCCGGTTGGATCCAAATGGAGAACCGGGGCTAGCTGGGACGCTAGCGGAGCGTTAGCCGCAGCATGACTGGAGGGAAGCACAGCCAGTTAGCCTCCGCTAGCCTCCCAGCTAGCCCCGGCTCCCCGTTTGGATCCAACCAGAGCACCAAGCCCCGTTTTGTTATTCAAAACCGTCGGATGTAGTCTTTGTAGTGTGTTCAAATGCAACTGACACAGGGCGACGTGAGGCGACATGAGGCGACATAACAGTTGGCTTTCGTCGCCGCTAGTTCTTTGATGTCGGTTTGGTGTGTCAGCACCTTTACAAGCACAAGTCAATAATCCATGAGTAGATGTACACTTCCTTCTGCACTCTGATACGGTTGGTAGGTATAGGTCAGTAGAAAGAAAATAGTTCTTACACAAAAGTGCTCACAGCAAGGTCTGTGGATTATCTTGAGTAACCAGATCATGATTTCTGAAAGAAGACATTGATGTTGAGTTTTTCCAAATGTATTTAACCCTTTTTCTGCTTTGAGCACCACAAGCTGACTGTCATCTAGTTCCATTATATCTGTCAATTTAAAGTTTATTTTGTTGATAATACTATTGTACTTTTATCAGCATAGGGTTTCGATTGCAAAACTTCATGCACCACGTGTCCTACACCGCTTCCACAAATGTGACTTCAGTTTGGCTCTTCAAGTTTCTCACATTTTTGCATTATTTAGAAAATGATTAACTATGCATGCAACTCTATCTTAGACTGTCTTGATCATGGAAAGGAGTAAATCTTGGGGTGTGCTGTAAGGAGAAGCCACTGACACAAGTTATGTAAGATTAAGATCATCTTTTATGAATGGGACATTTTGAAAAAGGAATCAGTAACCTGGTTTGTGGTGTCTTGTAATGTGTTTTGATGATGATCCTGTCCTTTTTATCACCCAACAGTCAAGATGTTCCTGTGCTGTTGGCTCACTCTGGGGGCTTTAATCCCTGTGACTTTAAGCATCAATCCTGGAGTAAAGGTCAAGCTAACGGAAAAAGGTCTTGAATATGGTAAGGTTTGCAGCATATTTCCTCATTCAGTTGGAAAGCCCTGATCTCTCCAGAGTTTCATCATCAAATTCCCTTAACTACCTTTTGCTAGGCAGACAACTGGGGATGGCTTCGATCCAGCAGAGACTCAAAACCATCAAAGTTCCAGATTTTTCAGGGACACAGAAGGTGTCTCCCATTGGCAAGGTCCAGTACAGCCTGTCAAAGTAATGCACCAGTTTATTTAACGATCTTGTAAATTCTATATGAAACTGGGGTACTTAAGGTGGTATTTTTTCCTCCAAGTGCCTTTTCAAACATGCATGCTGTCTCTTCCAGTATGCAAATAGTAGATGTGGGATTACCAAAGTCTGCGGTGGATCTGGTGCCAGGGACTGGAGTCAGACTCTCCATTGGTAACGCCTTCATCAGTCTGCACGGAAACTGGAGGGTCAAGTACCTCAGAATAATGTGAGTGAGAAAAGGTTTCTTCTTAAAACACTACATTAAATCCATTTTGAGATATATCTGCTACAGCAGTGACTCCTCTCTTCACAGAAAGGACAGCGGATCTTTTGATTTGAAAGTCAGCGCACTCACTGTCACTACAAGTATTGCCATAAAGAGTGATGAGACAGGTCGACCTACAGTCAGTAGCGTCAACTGTGCAGCCAATGTGGGCAGTGCGAGCATCAAATTCCACGGTGGAGCCAGGTAACAGAAACCCCGCTGTGTACTATGATTAAACTCATATGACGGAATGCAATGTGAGTGTCCACTTCTTTCCTTCCCATGCTTGACACACTGCACACTGCCCTAATTCCTGTGATTGCTTTTTGTTTCAGCTGGCTGTACAATCTCTTTAAAAACTTCATTGATAAGGCTTTACGTAATGCACTGCAGAAACAGGTGAGACTACTGTTTTTGATCATCCCCCTTCCTCTCTGTGGTTGTATTCACTAAGTATCTTATTTACAACAAGGAATCCTCCTAAATGCAGTTACAGCTACAGTAGGCAACTTTTGTAATGAATAACTTCTTTGTGTCATGTTAGCTCAAACAGTCACTGTATCTTCTCAGTAACAGCCTATATGAGACAGATCATCTGAGAAAAAACAGGTTCCTCTGGCTCCTCCTCTCTAACTGAGTGTCAGTCACTGCTCATGCACACGCTGGGCTGCCAGCAGCAGTCGACATGGCAAAGACAAGTAAACAGAAGACCTGTAAAAGTGAAAGTGAACGCAAGCTATGTGGAGGAGGGACGGGTAGTTTTTACATTGCTGGTGGTTGTTTCTCAGCCATTGTGTTTGCAAAGCTCACACTCAATCAAGATAGAGCTTGACTGAGTGTGAGCATGTTTGGGGGAGGGGGGCTGTGCGGTGTGTGCACAAGCAGTGATTAGTCCTTCTCACACATATAGGGCCGCTATAAAGTCACATCATTTTTACATAGAACCAAACAATGGCGGCATCCTGTCGCTACAGTGAATGATTTTAAACAGCATCCCAGAATCAAAAGTGGCGTGACGTGTAACACAACATACGTGCTGGCTGTGCTTCATAACAACATTACTGGCATAACATTGTGATAACAATCATTTACTGTCTCTGCCATATAGTGGCTTATCTTTTCCTCTGCTCGGAGGTTAAGGAGCTCCTGGACCTCATTATTTTCCCAATTTGAAGACATTTTCAATTACGGTTCTTCCTCTTTGAATTATCAGCTAGCTACTGTTAGCTTCTTGTCCTGTCCTGCCTGCCCCCAGACATCCATTTGGTGCTGTTACCACATCCGCTGCTGGCTTAAACGCAAGACAACTTTGTCAGCCCATTTCGCACTCGTACCTTTTATACAGAACAGCAGGGTTATATAATGGCATGATATTCCCACCTTGAACAGGCAATGTAAAAGGGGCTATCGACTGTCAGTTAGAGACTCATGCTGGCTCTGATTGGTTGTTTTCATTCAGACACAGTGGATTCTTGAAAATGCCATTAAGAGCACTAGGAGGAGGACAAACATGGTTCTTCCCAGGATTTCTGTCTCGTGTACGACTGTCAGAATGCAGTGACAGTTTCAGCAAATATGACAAAAAGTTATTTCTAAAAATAGTAACCTGCTGCACCTTTAGAAGTTTCTCTCAGTATTACATATTTTCTATACCCATAGGTAGTTTAGTGTTTCCCAACCTGGAGGACGCACCCCATCTAAAGTGTCCAAGATAAATCTGAGGGATCGTAACACGAGTAACAGGAGAGGAGAGACGAAACAAAATTCTGATACGCCAACTTTTCATTATTTGGACTTGTAATAATCCTTGCTTTGTATTGTTTTTTGTTTTTTTGTGGAATATTGGATAATTTGATCTCTTTGGGCCCTGAACAGTTACTCAAATAAAACCATCTGAGAAGTTTAGAGGGGAAATCAGCTTTTGGTAGATCTGCTAACAACTCTTAGACATCTGTTAATATGGGTTGGTGGTTTAATCTTTCACCTTCTAACACAGTCTCACAGAAATACATGAAATGGGCACAAATTCCTAACAACACATTGCATGGTGGTGTGCATGAAATGTGTAAAAATTACATGCTGGCAACACAAAAACAATGCCAATGGAAAGTCTATCATGAATGGTCACAGTTTTGTTAGGAAACTGAGGGACTTAGGTTTGATTTAGAGAAAAAAAAACTTGGTTAAGTTTGGGAAAATGTCATGGTTTGGGTGAAAATAACTATGTACAGGACGTAAGTGATGTAAACATATGTATTTTGCATAGTTATGCAAAGTACAGTACTTTGTGTAGTTTCATAAAGTCCGTACAGTCATGTAGCTACAAATACATTGTGGTTTCATTAAAATAATTATGTATGGGACATAAGTGACATAAACTTACATGAAGTTAGTGAAGTCACATAACTAAGTTTACTTCTGGTTTCACATGAGACACGAATAGCAGTCTCCTGGTTAAAAGTCCATGTCTGTTTGACCCATGTAACACCCCTCCCACCCACCCTACATGGCCTCTTTCACTCTTCATACTTAATATGTGTGTCCACCACAACAAAAGGTTCTCATTGACTTTCCTTTTTGCATTTTTACATTTCAAGCCCACTGCCCACTTGTCCATTTGAAATACTTCTATGAGACTAAGCTGCGTATTTTCTAAGCTTATTGAGTGATTTTTTTTTTGTAAATAAAATAGTACCTATTGCTATCTGATAAATGCAGTGGAGTAAAAAGTGCAATATTTCCAGCTCAAGTACAGTGGAACATAAGTATAAAGAAAATTAGAGTGCTCATGTAAACTATGACTACATAAAATTGTACGTGAGTAAATGATGTTCCACCACTGGGTCTGGAAAGTGCATTTTCTGTTTCATGACTGAATGTCAAGATATGCATGTTCCCTGTTTCTGCACTTTCTTTTCCCTTTTTTCTTAACTCAGCCGGTTAGGAGCAACTTTTAGTTTTAGGATGTTTTGAGAATGCAACCTCTTCAGAATATATAACTGATATGATAAGAAGTTCTCAGACTGAGTGCAAAGAAACAACAGAAACAGTTTTCTCCAGTCAGAAATCATTGTGTAAGATTCTTTTGGAGTCTGGGCATACATTTTTTTCTGGTCTTTCTTGTTGCAGATCTGCCCTCTGGTGGCTGATGCTGTATCTGATTTGAACCCTCAGCTAAAAACTCTCAATGGTAAATCATTATTTTTTATGTAAAATGTTTGGATGTTTCATTGATTCTGAATATATAAGAGACGTTCTACCTTCTTGTAGTTGTAGCCAAGGTGGACCAGTATGCAGAGATTGAATATTCCATGGTGACATCGCCCACAGTCTCCTCGTCTTCAATAGACTTGAGCTTGAAGGTAAAGAAGTGTTCTACACTGTGCAGTTTGTATCTACCAGACAGTCATGGTCATGTCGTTACTTTATTGACTGTGTTGTTTCTTTTTCATTAAGGGTGAATTTTACAACATTGGGAAGCATCAGGAGCCTCCGTTCTCCCCCGCAGCCTTTTCCCTGCCGCCCCAGATCAACAACATGTTGTACCTTGGCCTGTCTGCCTTCACCACTGACTCTGCAGCCTTCGTCTACAACAGAGCTGGACTCCTCAGCCTGTACATCACTGATGATATGGTGAGCTGCAGCCTCCTGATTCCCTCATCATTCTACTCTCGTGATGTCACACTGATCTGTAATCTTTCTGCCTACAGATCCCAAAAGGCTCTCCCATCCGACTCAACACCAAGACATTTGGAGTCTTCATCCCACAGGTGAAAACACATTCCACTCAATTTATAAGGAGCGTTATCTTTATTGGCAATCTCTCAACTATGTATCTGTGTATTTTCAGGTTGCCAAGCGTTTCCCAGGTCTGATGATGAAACTGCTGGTGAAGACAGTGAAAAACCCTGTCATCACTTTTGAACCTAACAACGTGACCACTCAGGCCACTGGCACAGTGACGGCCTACGCTATCCAACCCAACGCCACACTTTCCCCTCTCTTTGTCCTGAACTTGGTAGGTGACACAGTCTGCATGATAAAAAGCCATTTGTGTGGTTCAACGAAACACCAAAAAGTAACTTTCTCACCATGTTGTCTTTACAGGAGACCAGTGTCAGCGCCCAAGTGTTTGTCAGTGGAATGAGGCTGGCTGGAGCTGTCAGCCTTAACAAGTGAGTTACTTAAAAATCGCTACTTGTTCTCAGAGGACAAAAATGGGGCCAAAAGGTCCTTGTAAAGATGAACATCACAGCCTAATTTTGCCTAATTTGCACAGAATGGATCTGACCCTGGGGACAAGTTATGTGGGAGAGTTTCAGGTGAGAACAGCATTCTAATATGAATCACAGTGTGCACCATCAGCACCAACATAACAAATGAACCCTAACTATAACCTGCAGGTCAGATCCCTCGACAACATCTTCCAAATGGTCCTCAAAGTGGTAGTGATACCTAAACTGAACGGTGAGTTCTTTCTTTTTCAGTTTGTACTCTTCATGAACATGGTGCCATGTCATGTACTCAGGCTGTTGCATGCAGTTAAAAGTTTGCATGTGGTCATTCTTTAGACTCCGATTTATGTTTCAAATCCAACATCAGCAGTGCTGCTACAAAACATTCTTCCTCGAGAGTAAACTCCTCTGGATCCATAATGATGCAGAGGGCCTAACTCATGCCTTCATTTTAAGCAGACTATACCAGAGGTTCTCAGCCTTTTTTATCCCCCACAGTCCTATCACACTATTATATTTTCATACAAAACATTATTGTCCTGGAAGTGACCGTGTTCAGGTTTCTGTAGATTAAGTCAAGTTTCTACAGAAGCATATTATATTCACCAAAGAAAAACATTGGAGACCTTGGTCTCTTTCATAAAGATCTGTTATATTTTCTATCAAGAGAAGAAAAAAAAAAAGAGAAGAAGCCAACTCTAGATGCAACAAATCTCCTCTTACTCAGGTGGGCTCAATGATGAATCCCATTTGATCATAAGTTACCTATTAACATAAGTAACACAACCTAAACGCTATATAAGAGCAGGTGTTGTGCTGTGTGCAAACACCCTGGCACATGACCAAGAATTGGAGAGATGCCATCAAACAAAGGCTGTAAGAAGAGGAAGAAGATCGGCAGTAGTGAAATCAATGCACTGTTAAGTAAACTTTAAGCAAATGTGATTTTCCAGAGTGTCAGTACTGGTGTTGACGATTTAAAAACCAGCAACCAGTTGCACAAAGAAACTTAAGTTAAGATTTTCCTTCAAGTCTGACTTAAGGTTTCCTTGAAAAAAAAAAAAAATCAGTTGCACAAAACATCAAACATCAACCTCAAGTCTTCTTCTTAAGGTTTTCTAAAAATGTTTAAGGATGTACGTTTGTCTCCTTATCTTGGTCTTACACTTAAGGTATTGCTTAAAGTTTGTTTAACTATTGCACAAAGAACCTTAGTAACCAAAGAAAGGACAAAACATAAAGTACCTCTGACTCCATCTTAACTGCAACGTGGTTGAGTTTATGGAGATAAATGAGAAAAATGAAGGCATCCTGAAAGGAGTGTTCTGTGACCAGGAGAGCCTGATGGACACGCTTAATGATGAGCAACTGATTCTGCACTTAAAATTTTACCAGAAGTCAGACTATAATTGTGACCGTCTGGAATTGGATCACTCAACTTTCCAAGGCTGCGCTCTTCCAGCCCCTTTACAACTAATGATAGCTCTGCGGTTTTATGCAGCAAGATCTTTCCAGTCAGTTATTAGTGAGGTCTTTCATATAAGCCTTAAGTGTCATACTTAAGGAGCAAACTTAAGGTGCTTTGTGCAACTGGCCCTGGGAATGGCAGAACATTTGTGATGCTGTAAATGTGTGTCAGTAGCAGTGGTGAAGGATTCAAATGCTTGGCTTAGGTAAAAATACTAATACAACATTATAAAAGTACCATACTACTAATATAATACACTATGATGATCGTTGCAAAAACAAGGTTAGTGAGTGACCGACAAATATGAAGTATTATGGTACTTGGCCTTCTAAGTCAATATAAAATGCTTTACATTGTGTTCCAATTATTTCTATAAAGCTTTACGATATGTATGAGTGCTTATACTAATACAGTGTTATAAGCAGATTATAACACATTCTGAGTATGTTTACAATGCATTATGGGTGTGGGCGTCATAGAAAGTGTTACCAAAATCAGTTAGTGCAGGTTTAACTGAAAGACAAGTCAACTTAATTGCCTTTTTTTAAGATCTTTGTATTTATTAACATCATATTTTACCCTCTTGCACATTGCTAGTGTCTATATTTCTACTTTTTTCATTCTCACTGTAATTATATTGAACCAGTTTTAAACTCACTAATAGTCCACTTATCCTAAGGTCATTATATGTTGTACTTTTTGTATTTCTTTTTTATTTTATCTATTTCATCCGTATTCTATCTTTTCATGTGAAGAACCTTGAGCTGCATGAGTAGTATAAAGCCCCTGCTACTTGTAATAACATCACTGTCTGTGCTTGCCTTATTTGATTTGTGCAGTAAGTTTATCTACATGTGTGAATTCTGCTTCATAGTTCAACTTGCAAAGGGATACCCACTTCCTACACTTGGAAAGATGAAGCTTGTGAACACTCAGCTTCAGGTCCTGAAGGTCAGACACTGGATATTTTCTATAAAGCTGTATTTTTTTTTTAAAATTTATAACAGGGATTTTAATAAGGTCCAATAACTCGAAGTAAACATCTTCAATTATGAGTTGATCAACATCATTTCGAATTTGGAATCTGTTCTTAACTGTTGTGCTTTATATTTTCTCCAGGACTATATGCTGATTGGGACAGATGTTCAGTTCAGCAGTTGAACGGCATTTCTGGAGACTCACAGGATTTATTTGTGCACGAGGACATGCCACCATGAAGACACAATCACAACCAGAGTTTTAACTACCTGACAGAAATTTCAAAGAAAAAACTGAATAATGTACAAATATTACTTCTCTACGATCAAGAGAAATGCAGATCTCCTGTTTGCATGTGGATGTCACCTCAGGTTTTTATCATGTTTCGGTTTTTTTATACTCTTTTTCTTTTAAATGAAAACTCAGACCAGGTTCTCCACATGAATAAATACACATTTAAATGTAGATGGGGCAGTGAACTTTTCCAACAGGGTCACTGCAGTCATGTCACAGTAGGACACAATCTGCAGGACAGGATCTGCTGCTGTCACCACAATTATCTTTTTGAAACAACGTGCTCCTTCCAAAGCAGATCACAGCACTTTCTGCTGCTGACTTTGGACAAATTGCCTCTCAAAGCTTCTGACTCACAGAGCGATTCTACAAATGTGCTGATCTATGATATTATTACTGCAGTTTGGAGAGTCCTATAAAATATGCCGTGACATCAATCAAGTACCAGACAAAACAAATCAGTCATGGCTGTATGTGTAAAACAAACATAATTTACATCATCCAAACTGGTTTCAGCATCTTAGGCCTGTTTACACCTGCTATTAACATGCGTCCTGGGTAATTGGATCACAAGCGAACAGCTCAAAGTACAGGTGTGAATGCGCTCAAACAATCTAGAGTTTCAGTCACTCAGACCACATTCCAACTGTCTCTGACGCTGAGCTCACACTCCTGTAGCAGTAATCTCCTAGCTCTATGGAGGTGGCGGGACCAGGGGACGCGCTTGTCTTCTGGTCTTTGCAGATGGAAATGATTTACATGTTTGTCTGCATGCAGAGCAGGGAAGTTAGATACAGTCTCAAGTATGCACGTGAGACGCATGTGGAGACACACTCTAATGGCAGGTATAAACAGACAGATATAGAGCAGCTGTCCACTTGTGATCCGAGCGCCCAAGATGCATGATAACACCAGGTGTAAACGGGGCCTTAGGCTGCATTCACAACAAATCAGGTGTTGAGGCGATTAGCTGCAGGCTTGTGCAGTGTTTTGGGAGTGTCACTTAAATGGTATATTTGTGGGGAAGTGGAGGGTGAAAGCTGTCCACCCCATCTAAGCGGGTATTTGTCTTTGTCAAGTTTGTTAATGTTTGCCTGGGGATCTGTAGAATTTCTTTTGATTATCATTACTGTTGTGAATTTATTGCTGCAAAAGACACACATGCGCAAACACAAACAAAGCGAGTGTTCTCCTTTGTAGCACTGTAGCTGTTACACATTCTTTATTTCTTTTACTCACTTAAATATATTTAACAATAGAAAGACACTTTATTTCTTGCTCCTGTGGACTGCAGGCAACATTTGGTCTGATGGCCGCGTATGTGAGTGGCCACTGCAGCGTGATGTCGGATAGAGTTTCTCCAAAATAATGTTGTCATTCTTATAACTCATCACAGCAGCCCTATGTGACTGTAAGGTGACCAACATTCCCATAAACAGCCTCCATGTTGCTTCAATGTCATTCAAGAGAGGGCAGAGTGCTAGTTTTCCCAAACACTAACAGTTTGTTTCTTGTGGTGTCACCTGTGTCAATCAACATGTTTCAATCATGGCTGAGTCTGAGTCCACATGTTCATCTAGCTGGTGCCTTGGCAGAGTCTCACAGTGCTTCACGAAGCCGTTCAGGGAGCTGTGACTGAGGGCCCGGCCTCTCAGGCTCTGCGAGTTGGCCGCCAGTATCTATATAACAGACACAAAACATCAAAGAGAGAAGGATTAAATGATGAACTCTTTGTGAAGTGACAGATAATGCCTTATTAAAGCTCCTGACTGTGATGAAAAATTGTTGAAATGATGTCCTCCTCTGTCACTGACTGGCAGGAAACTGTCTCTTCATAGTAGAATATGTACCTAGTCCTTTTTACATGACTGTTGGTGTGTCACAGGAAGACACGAGTTTTACATTGTTGTATTAAAGGTGTGCCTGCATCTGAACACCTGTGATGGATGTTTCATTTTAGGTACTTGAGAAACCTGTTTTTCATCTCCATTTTCAAGTTAATGTTCCTGATATTCAAAACAGAACCTGACTATTACAGAAGTTTTGAGAGCAAAAGCACCTTTAATATTTGAGATAACACTGCATCAACTTATATTAGTTTTTCAACATAAAAACACAATTTAAATTAAACAGGCACTCGGACAACACAGACCCCCACCGAGGCCAAATGCCCTATCTCGCAGGGTTTACCAGAGTGAAAAATAATCAGTGTATCCGCCTCATTATTTAGATACGAAATTAAATGGATTCTTCCTCAGCTCACGCTACATCCTTCCACCAAGTTTCCTGAAATCGGGCCAGTGGCTTTTCTGTAATCCTGCTGAAAAATAAACCAAATACATAACTTCCTTGGTGGAGTGTGTCTGTATATTATCAAATATTTTATTTATGACTAAACGAGTTTAATAACACTTGAAAATTAAGCCATTCTGCTTTACTGGGACTGTGTGTGTGCTGTTTGAGCACAGACTCTCTTTCTAAATCCTGATTGGTGCAAGTATGTGACACGTTTTTTTCCCCCACTGAGCCACATCCACTTTAAACCGGTGAGAGGAGCACAGAGAAAACTCGAATGATCACCTTGTGGTTGTATGTCTCTGCAAAATGGTCAAGTTACAGTTACATCCATGTCTGTACAGACTCATATGGAGCCATGACAGGCCACAATGCTTCACATATGGATGTTGCTGCAAAAAAGCTACAAATTTTAAAACATGGATGCTTCACACACATCTTCATCCCAGCAAAATATCAATACAGTCACAGTTTCAAGATGGACACCCAAAATTAGAGTCACCAATTCAGTATCTGACCAAATGTATCCCCTTCTGTGTCTGAGTTATGGTGTTGAATAATGGCCAGAAAAGTGTTTCTGCAGAACATTATGATGTCACAGTGAAGTTGACCTTTTGGAGGTAAAATGTCATCACTTCATTATTTTATCCTGTTAGACATTTGTGTGAAAGTTTGCATAATCAGCATATGAATTCTTGAGTTACGGCCGGTTTTGTGAGGTCAAAGTGACCTTTGAACACCAAATTTAAACAGTTGAGATAAGAGATAAGATATTTCCTCAAGGTGTTCTTGAGATATCGCGTTCAACAGAATGGGACAGATGGGCATACAGACGCTGGCACAACCCAAAAACATAATGCCTCTGGCCACAGCTGATGTCAGCTGGAGGCATAGACATGAAATACAAAAAGTCTTGTGTGAGACAGCCAAACCTGTTCTATGGCAGAGAAGTGTGTCCATATAGGATCCCAACACAAATACTAAGAGAAAATATGTTTTCAAGGCCTTTACATGTCTGGACTAAAGAATAGTGACAAAGATATGTGCTGTGAGTGAGTGCAACATTTCACAGTTGCAAAATAACCTTGTCAGTGCTCTCTGATGGAAAATGACAATGTTTCCAAAAGACCTTAAACATATCCTTGGCATTCTGTTCTGCAACCTATTATGTTATTTATCAGTCAACATACAGTTTACCAATATATGTGCAGAAAACAAATATCTACTAACAATATGGGCTGTATCAGTCTGGCTGTATTTTGAAGAGCATGTAAAAATGATGTACTAGCTGTATGTTTTAAGCCGCACCTTCACCAGCACATAGTCTCCAGCGCTGACCGCTGCAGTGTTGGATTCAGCAGGCTGAACAGCAACGTCCTCTTTGGGGAAAATCACTTTCATATTGCCATCAGTTCTCCCACACAGGTCCTTGGCAGATCTTTTACTTTCCTGCATAAAAGTGGAAACCAGAGATGAGCGGTGTTGCCTGGTAACAGGTTACAGTAACCCCCCAGTGGTACAGAACGACTACTACCATCCATTGTGAGCAGCGTCACACATTATTAATTCAATTTATGTATTTCTATACTTTATATAGTATATCTATACTTCCTATAGGAGCCAATAAATCCTTTCACAAACATACTGGAAAGGGAACTGATTTATTATTGTCATTATACAATATAGGATTGTAAGACGAAATGTAGGTGTAGTGGTAAAAGTGGTACTAAAAGAGAAAATAAAAAGGAAAACTGTCTTATATTTATAAGGAATATATACATTTATGTATATACAGGGTGACTAGACGTCCTGAATTACAAGCAGCTGTCCCAACTCACAAATCCTGCCCTTTTTTGTCCCAAAAATTAACCATTACAGTAATGGATACTATAAACAAGCTAAAACAAGAGCTGTCTGTTTGCTGTGAGTCTTAAAACTTGAAGGCAAAAATGCTGAGGAGACTTGGTGACACAGTGATACCGAAAAACGCTGCAGTGAATGTATTGTGTATTTTGGAGCGCTGCCAAAGTGTCATGAATAATTAATAACAGAACAGAGATGTGCACAATCTGCTGCTGTCACCAGAATAAAGAAGACTAAGAAATTTTATTGGAGAAGTCTTTCATTAAATTATCAATCACTCTACATTAATTAGTAGATCAATAGTTTTTTTTATTCTCTGTACCGCGCCGCACTCTCAATGCACTGATCAGGTTATCATAAATAACGGGTTGATGTCATTCAACCTGGTTTAAACCAGATGACGGAGAGTGCTGCCGCCGCTCTGGGAGGAATTTGTGATAACTAAAAAATGGTATGTATCCCAAAATTGTGGCTGTAAGCTTAATGACAATCTTAGCTGCTGACAAGATGTTTAAAATGACTGTAACATGCCTGTCACCTGTGCACAATGCATCATGCAAACACGACCAAGACACTGAGCTTCATATGATCCTGAATTTTATGTATCTAATAATAATTTACACACTCGTACATACAACACAGTGACTGTTTCTTCTTCCTAATGATAGACATTTGACTAATGAACAAAAATTATGTTGAGTTGTGACTTTCATGTGTTTGATTGTTGTTGACGCAGATGTACTGGAGGCAGTGCCCACCATTGCCACATGACCATGCACACCCAAAACTGCAATCCATCTATAGCTGTTGAGATATTCAATCAAAACCAAAGTGGAGGGCCGATCAACAGCCCCACACCAATCAAGCCAAGCTAAGAACAACACTACTAGCATAGTTAAAACTATGAACCTATGATTATACCACCCCATCTTCTGTTACACTTTTCTCAAAAATTAGCCAATGCCATCTCAACCTAAGCTTTAACACAGGCAGATGACATACAGAGAGGCAGCTGTGTCTTTGCTGTCTAGATTTATTTTAGAGGCAAATTAATAATGTAAATAAAACTTCCTGTACTCAGGTTTAAGGGAATGTCATTGACACTGAGTAACATATCTGTTCATGCATTTTTATCAATCAGATATTTTTAGAGTTGTGTCGGTCATGTGTGCTGTACTCACTCCCTCCACTAGGACAAGCTGTGTGCTGCCGATGAGAGCAGCGTTGACCCTTGCAGCTTCCTCTCTGAATACAGTAATACACTCCTCCAGCCTCCTCTGCTTCACCTCAGCTGGCACGTCGTCTCGTAGCCGATGGGAGGCATGAGTTTTCTGAGTGAGAAAACCATGAGAGTGGTTGCTAAATCTAGATCTTTTATGAAGCCACTTCAGAGAACATTTTATAAAATAACAGCCTGGATTTAATTTTAAAATACAGAGTGGTAAATTATAAACCCACAACAGCTCACCTTTCTCATGCTGTAGGCAAACAGGAAGCCCACGTTGTAGCCCACCTCTCTGATCAGAGACAGAGTCTGCTGGTGGTCATCCTCTGTCTCACCACAGAAGCCTGAGATGAAGTCACTGCTGAGACTCACCTCTGACACACACACATCATTAATGTTAAACACAGACCAAACACTTCAATATCAAGATGATTATAACACAGCAAATGCGCTTTGGGTTATATTGTCAGCTGGGTTTTTACACACACATACTTTTACTGCAATATGTGTGACTGTAGTTTGCTGCATTTCAAGTCGCATCTGTTTCAAAGGCCCCACTCATGCTCTGGTGCTAATAAATGTTTGGATCACTGGTTATGTGAATGGAAACCCACAGACTGGCAAATAAGGAAATGAAACACTGGAAATGGAGGTA